CGGGAGACTCTTGACCCTCAACCCTTGCTCTGATTGATCTGTCTGTATCGATTCAGTACATTAAGAATTTATTATGCCGCTAGACATGTCACTAGATTACATGAGCTCGTTGCTGACTAATTAGGTAACAGCAAAAAAGACAACAGTGTATTGGGTCAGAGAAACAAAGGTTCCTCGCACACATACACACATAAAGAATGAAGCACATGGCGCACAGGGATCAAAACTAGTCTCATCTTTCCCAAGCAGAACAATAGTATGTGCAGGTGTTTCATCTGATCAGAAATAGAGCACCCACCCACACACATACAGTTATACAAAGACACACGGAAACTCGTACGTATGCACCAACGAGCACACACATACATTCTCATTCACCTAAACCATTTACGAGCAACCACGCATGCAGCGCACCTTTCTCTAACAAACAATGCTACGTTAGATACAATGTCTGTGGGTCGGAAAATAAGTTAACAGAGTTGTTACACAAAAATGAAAACTCTGTCATCATTTACTCACCCTCTTGTAGTTCCAAACCTAGATGACTTTCTTTTCTTCCATGGAACACAAAAGGAGATATTTTGACTAATGTCTGTGCAATTGAAATTAAGGAACTGGAGCTTTCAAGCTTTAAAAAACACACAAAAGCACCATAGAAGTATAAAAATATTGTAAATATCATCCATACAAGTTGAGACTTGGTTATTATTCACTGATTTTTCTTCCAATTCTATTGGAGCAAATGGGAATACAAAAATTGTATTACGTTTACTACTGTAGAAGTTTACTCAACTGACTTCTGCTTCTGGGAACCCCAGAAATATGCAAAGGGTCTATTGAGTCAGTAAATTAAACTTAAAGAACCAGATCAGTCTGATTTATGAACCAATCTGGGTTTTGTTAACTGGATCCACCAATTGATTGAAAAGATTTGATTCAAAAGAATCGTTCGTGCATGAATCGGGCATTACTTCTCTCATAAACTCTCACGAACATGCAGAGTTTGGTCAAATGTGAAAAGGGTCCACTAAGTAAGTAAATTAAACTTTAAAAAAGATATGTCTGATTCATGAACCAATCTGGTTTTGTTAACTGGATACACCAATTCATTGAAAAGATTTGATTCAAAAGAATTGTGCATGAATCGGGCATCGCTTCTCTCATTAACTCTCAAGAGCATGCTAAATTTGGGCATATGTGAAGGTTTTTTTAGAGAATAACAACATGCATTAGTCGAATGGACCATTTTGGACCCCATTCACTTTATATTGAAAGAATGTTCTCAAAAAATTCTGATTTATTAAAACACCTTTTGTGTTCCACCGAAAAAAAGAAAGTTATAGAGTATGACCTTAGGGTGAGTAAATGATGACAGATTTCCCTTTTTTTTTCTGGATGAATTCCCCCTTTAAATAAGGGTGTACTCACACTAGGCACGGTTGCCATGAACCGAGCCCGAGCGCGATTATCCCCCCTCCCCACTCCCCCACTGGCCTGCACTCACACTTGCACTAAACATTCCGGGCCGCAGCACGCTTACGTCATGTATGAGATAACGGAGAAAACCACTTTCGCTAATATTCTGCAGAATAATTAATAATAATTAATTTATAATTTATGTTGTGCATTGATTTTCAGTTGTATGTATCAGAGAATTATTACGGAGGCAGCTGACGTTAATGAAATAATTTGCAGCTTTACTCGCAAACTACATTTCCTGTTCATCAATAAGGTAAGAACCAGAGCCATTATAAACCTAAATATACTTGATTAAATTAAATTAATTGAAAAGTGTAGTGTAGTAGTAGTAATAGAATATGTTTGCGGTCGTAATGATGACAGTAGCGCACACAAAATAGTATCTGTTCCGTGCTCCGGCACGGTTAGCGCTCACACTGCATGTGTACCGCGCCCGAGCCCAACCGATCCGTGTCCTGGCCCACCTCTTCCAACCAGGCCAGGGCCGGCTAAATGAACCGCGCCCGAGCGCGGCACGGAGCGCTCACACTAGTCAAACGAACCGGGCTTTGGGGGTCAAACGCGCTCGGGCACGGTTCAAAACGCCTAGTGTGAGTACACCCTAACTGTATTTTGGGGCCTGTTTTACTGCCAGGCTGTACAGTAGATACTCAGCACCTCACAGCCCCTCAGCTGTTCTATTCTTTCTCCTGCCACTTCCAGATAACAGAGCATTTGAATTTGAATAGTCCATGATTGGACAACAAGCGTGTTGTCGCGCTGTTGTTTCCTGCAGCCGGACAGAGGCGAGGCGAGCGGCGTGTGTCCGTAGGCAAAGCACATGGAAAGCAGCGAGAGAGCGAGCAGGAACTGTCCTGCCTCGCTCTCCCACACATCGCGCCACACAGGGTGTGCAGGCATAGAGCTGAAATACGCTCTCCTTTCGTTTCCTTCTCTTTGTCAATGCAAATCGCACACCGTCCAAAAGCTGCACCGCTGCAACGGAGCACGCTTCCTGTTTGACAAGGTGCATGCATGAGCTTCTGCAGAGGTGGAGGGATGCGAGCTGGAGTTGAAGCCGGGCTGTGGTTTTCATGCCCACTCACTCAGTTGCCACATGCAAGCGTGCATGCGGGCGCTCAGCTGTCTCGATAAGGTCAGACAGTGACGGCTGTTTCTGGCGTGGAATTGCATCACAGCAAGAGACCCATTACTTTTGCGGCTAGACCCGGGTTCTAGTGATGCATATCTCCCTATCTGGCAGACTCCTCTGTGCACTGCTATCTTTCTCTCCGGATGTCAAAGGCGGACAAAGCAGCACTTATTTGACACCTCTTTAACTTAATCCTCTATTTTAATCATGGTTTATCTATATCTTAATCTATTAACCCAGCAATTGCAGATGACCGGCAGAATGCGTCGCTAATTTGCATGAAAATCCACATCATTAGATTACTAACATCATTACATTACTAATACCCAGTATGCAGATTACTAGATGGATGTAAAATAGCACCAGATGGCTTTGAAATCAGAGACTGTCGTCACTTTAAATTTAAGAGAATTGTTTTATTTGTTCACACAATCTGTTTTAAGTCGCTTACGGGCTTTTGGTTCCTTTAATGCACCCAGTTTTCCAAATAAAACTGTCTTAGGCTTCTTTAGTTTTTGTCCTTTTTCTCAAATCTTTGTTGTTGATCACATATTCCTGGACGGAGGAAGATGTTTATATCATATTACCAGCTAATACATGAATCGAATGTAATTGCTCATCATAATGACTTTTTGGCAGTGGTTTGTCAGAAAGCTGGAGAAAATAGGAAACCCTGATTGGGGGTTATTCAAAGAGAGCTCTGTATTTGCTCTCTGTAGAACAGGTGGTGAGCTGAGCTCGGTAGGATTGGTTGGCAGAGGCTGTTCGTTGTGTTGGTGAGGTGGCAGCTGTGTTGAGCGCTGAGCAAAAAGTAGCGCCCATACCCCCCCCGCCTCACTTTCAGCACACCCACTTGCCACCCGCATGCCGAAAAGAGCTGCTCTCGCCCCATTCTCGCCCCACTCTTGCTG